AGTGTTATAAACCGCTTTCATAAGAGTTGCACAACAGGTGCATTAAAATTTCCATATCAAAACTGCCATTTTAAATAGACTACAGCTACTTCTCTATTGGTAAAAAAAAAAAAAAATATCCACCTATGCCTGACACTAAAGTTAGAAAACAGGAAAGCTAAAGTGTTCTGCTTACATCCACACCAACTGTCTTCGCTACTTCACAGAATTCAGTCATCCTGCTAAACTAGAACAAATGCAAAGCAGCTCTGCTTCTTTCAACAGAAGAGATTCAGTAGTATGCCATCAATTCAGTTCTATATCACCAGCTATTCTTCAAAATATCAGGATCAAAACACCAAAAAAGTGTTAGCTCTGTTATAAATTTGCATCAATTAAAAAAAGTCCTCTAGAACAAAGTTCAATTATAAAATGTTAATTTGTTAATCTTTAGGGAGAAAAAAAAGATCACTCCGTCACAGAAGCTAAAATATTGGATATCATTATTTCAGATCTCCTCTTACGAAATTTTATAATGCAGAAATATTAAATCAGATATTATTGCAATATGCAATTATTAACAACTGTATTTTTGTGCAAGAAGCAAGTTTTTATAAAAATACGCTCATGTCTTTATTCATCCAAAGTATTTCATTTTTATAACAGAGTTTTCTTTCACCATCATGATAAACACAATATAAAGAAAATCTGAAGAGCAGCACTTGTCCTCTTTACTTCACTCCAGAGCCAGTGAACAAAGCAATGAAGCAGAAAGAAGGTACATAATGGATTTAAAGTAAATGGCCCATTCTTTAAGAAAGCAGCCTCTCATTTTTACTTGTTCTAGCTTAATTGTCATTACAATGTCTAGAAACTTCAAAAGGACAATTATTTTAACACCAGCTGTCAAGTTGGTTCTGTAAAACTACATTTTTTAACTAAAAAAAAGGAAGCAATCAGAAAATGTTAATAAAATATTTTCTTGCAGAAACATTGTAAACATCTTTAACCATATTTTAGTCATTAGATTACTAGATACCAGTCCATTGCATACAGTAACTAAGACAGAATATATATATTCACTGTTACACTTTGTAATACACTTTTCTGCTAAATATTGCTTCCAACTGCACTGGATGCTTACTTTTCAATGCTAGAAACACTCTGACATGTGCATATTTCCCTTGGGATTTAAAAATAAAGAATTGGCTAATTTTTGCACCTACCTGGGTAAAAATCTTTGGATTTAGACAGCTTGATGGTGGCCCCAGTCTCTTTCTGCAACTGAACAATTGTTTGTCCTCCCTTCCCAATTATAGATCCAGCAGCATAACTAGGTATGAGGACCTTTAGAAAATATTGGCCATCCTCTGAAAAATTGAGATATGCATGGTTAAGTTGGTTTACAAACTTTTATTTTTCCTTCCCAGACCCACAAAATAAATAAAATATTACATTTTTAAACTCGCCAGTAATTCATGCATCCACATCTAACCAGTTGCGTCATTTTACAATACGTTTGGACTATGTCTTTGCCATTTTAAAATATATACATATTTATTCTAGAAATTAAAGAATCCATATATATTCCTTAATTCCATAAAAGAAAGAGAACAAAATCTAGAATATATATTTCAGAAAGTGGAATTCTTCCAATTCTTCTGATGGTAACCATAGCACACCAAAATGAACAGACCCCTTTAAAAAAAATAAAGCCCTGCACAAAAACGTGCCTAGTGACAACTACAACCTTGCTTGAAAATAAAGCAAAAGAAATGCCAAAACTAAGAAGGAATGAATAGTAAATACTGATGGGCTATTTGTTTGTCATTAGCAAACACATGAGAATAGCAATTAGCTATTGCCTGCATTCTTCTTAAGTGAGCAAAACAACTACTCTGCTACCAAATAACCCACCCAAAATGTGGGGTTTTATTCCAAGCATTTCAGCCACTGCCAAGAAAACAACTCAACATGGTGCGGAAGGAATCACTTGCCTAAGTAATCCTGATGTATTCCTTTAGCACTTCTTAAGCGACAATGATCTCTTTTAAGCTCATTAATTAAAGGATATTAAGAAGAATTTTTCCCAATTGATCAAAAGCCTAAGACACTTATTTTAAATGCACTTAAAAGGTGAGAGAGAGCCGATGGCAGTCCTTTACCCATCACTAGTGTTAAAGCACACAATCAGATATATATCATGTATCTGTGTGTATATATATATACATACATATATATATATATGCACACACACACAATGAATGAACAAAGAGGATTCCCAGTCTCAGTCCACAACTGAACAATTGTCCGTGCTCTCATCCCAGTTCTAAATCCAGCTACGTTGAAGTCTAAGAAACCTTCAGTAACTGGCTTGAAAAAGTGCAAGACAATAAGGGTAGGTTGATTCCCAGACTTCTGTTCTCCTCAGTAATTAAGGTAATGTCCTATTTTGTTTAATATCAACACTTTTATCATGAAGCCTATTTTACAAAGTTTTTCTTTTTTAAACAAAAGGGCAGATGCCAGTTCACCTCACTTGTCTTATTCAAGACTATAAGCACCGTAAGAAGTGCCTATGTGTCACAATAGTGCCTATCCGTATTAACGTAACTGGCTGTACAACGTACTATATATAGTTAGACTGCTGCTCTTCACATTGGACAAATAAATTCACCTCTGCCTCGGTGCATTGTTATGATGATTCCAGTGTAAATGAACAGAGGAGATGCTGGTCCCGTTATAACTCATCTCATCCAGGAAGAGCAGGATGTTAACTAACAAGTCCCCGCACCAGAGAGACAACTCCCCCCTCCACCAGCCACCCCTCAGCCCCGACAAGACAAATCAATGCCGTATATACGCTGACAATAGAAGTGAGGCCAAGGAAAAGGAAAACACAGGGCAAGACTGAAATTCAACTTGTGACCCAGAGGATGTGAAAGGAGGAAAGTGCGTTTACCGTTCTCCTTCCAGCTGCCATTTATTTTAGCCAATTGTTAAATGGACAGAGAAGATATCTGGGCTGCAGAAGCCCCTTGTGCTCCTTCCTAGTCTCTGTGGGGTCAAGGCTGTGCAGCCCCAGCGTGGATATTAAATAAAAAGACCGGTAGATGCTGAAAACCGACGCCATTTTGATGAATGATAACATTAGAGAAATGGGAATGTTTGGGGAGAAGAGGGGGAGGCAGGCAGGTAGGGAAGAAGAGGTGGGTGGGTTGGGCGGGTGG